TCACTGACACCCATGTTCTTGGGGTCTGGATCAGTCCCATGCTGGTATCCCAGCTATCAATCTGGGGCAAAAATTATTTCTAAGTTAGTTTTTTCTTGGCATTGGATCTCACCCTGTGTCCCAGGCTGGTTTCCAGGTTGATTTGCAGCCAAGAATGACCTCGGACTTCAGATTCCATTTCTAAAGTGTTAGAGTTAGTGGCATGAGACACCACTCTGGTTAAAGTATTGCTGAGGACTGAACCCAAAGCCTCGTGTATGCTAGGCAAGCACTCAACCTCTGAGCTATGCATCAGACCCTGGCTATGACTTAAAATCTTGATGCCTATTGACATTCTGCCCTTTTGTCCTAGTCTATGGTGTCTCTAAGTGTTAAAATAGTATGTCAATCATATCTTTCTCTGACATTGCACTATTTGTGTGTGTTGCTGTATGCACATGCACATGTGTGTTCAGGCATGTAGAGGTGTTGCTCTTCAGGAACTGCAACCTTGCTTTTGATGAGTGATCTCTCTGTGGGCCCTGGAACTCTCACTGATTTGGCTAGGCTGGCTGGCAAGCACATTTCAGGGATCTGCTTGCCTACCTCTCCAGTGCTAGGATAGTGTGTGTACACCTCCATACCCAGATTATTTTTTGGTGGTGACAGGGTGTGTCTGTCTGTCTGTGTCTGTGTGTGTGTGTGTGTGTGTGTGTGTGTGTGTGTGTGTGTGTTTATGTTTGAGGCAGGGTTTCTCTGTTTAGCCTTGGCTGTCCTGGAACTCGCTTTGTAGACCAGGCTGGCCTCTAACTCATAGAGATCTGTCTACCTCTGCCTCTCAAGTGCTGGGATTAAAGGTGTGCGCCACCACCACCCAGCTCCAAACCCAGATTTTTATTCAAGTACTGAAGGCCAAACTCGGGTTTCATGCTTCTGTGGCAAACACTTAGCTGAGTTATAGCCCCAGCCCCAACAATGTAATTTTTTAAACTGGCATTTCTTTTGTATGCTTTGAGTACCTTTTGTATATAAAATTGTTATTTTATGTACTTATCACCCTCTCTTTTTTTTTTCTAGAATTGTTGGTGTTTTTATTGGGAAGGGTGTTTGTTCATGACTCCCCTCAAGAGTGAGTTCCTCTCTCTCCACTCACCAGCTGGTTTATACCAGCATGTATTAAAAGCCCTTACTGGAGACACTGCCCATGTATTTAGCTGCCATCCTCAGAATAAAAAGGCTCTGCCCAGGGTAGCTAGAGGAAGCGCAACCAAGAGTAAGACCCACATATTAAGATAATATCTCACTTACATAAAATAAGGCGCAACTTCAAAGCATCCACATTCATGATCTCATCTGCTTAAAATCAGGGCACAGTGAAGAGGGTGGGGCTGGTGACATTTTCTTTATTTTACTGCTCTTTCTTTGGGAATGTGAATGCCACCATTGCCCCTCCCACCTGAAAGTCCAAGGCTGTAAGGACCTATAACAATGGTTGACAGTTGATAATCCACAGAGCTTGTTACATTTCTAACATTTTCTAATATTAAAGCAAAAGGTAGTTTGGGAAGGGTAGATGGCATTCAGTGGTTCCTTGTCATGACAACCAGCAGCACCCTGGGGTGTGGCTGATCCATTAGAATGAGAGCCTGGGCCACCCCATAGTGGGTTGGTGTGAACAAAGAGTTAGGCACTTGGGTGACAGCCACGGTGATGGTTCATGACTGAAGCATCGTGAAGCTGTCCTGACTGAAAGGAAGAGGCATGTGTGCAAGCCTTACTGTGGGAGGCTCGCCCACGGCCATGGAGGAACCAGAATTTTGGATCCTATTAGTTAGCTTCAGGACATGTACTTAATCACTAGAAGCCCAACACTTCCTCTAAAGGTCCCACCTACAGATGTCTCCTGGATGGATGGATGATTGAGGGCAAGGACTCCAGGCTGAGTTCCAGCTGGGGATACTCAAGAGCCTAAGTAGCAGTCCATCTGTGGTACATGCCTAAACTTTTTTTTTTTAATCTGGTTTTACCCAGGTAATGGTAGTGCATGCCTATAATCACAGCACTTGGGAAGCAGAGACCCTATCTCAAAAATAAAATTATTATTATTGTCCAACCTAGGGCCTCAGACAATCTGCACATATGCTCTACCATGGAGTTTTCACTTTTTTTTCCTCAACAGCCCCACACTGCTCATCTTGGGGTCTTTGTGTTTTAGGGTCAAACTTGGAATTCAAATCTCTACTCCCACTAGACAGTGTTATCTGGGAAGGTCTCTGAGAGCCTCTAATGTTGGTATCTTGCCTGCTCTGTAGAGTCCACGATGATAATGCTTAAGGCTGCTGTGAGAAACTGAGGAGGAACACAGTGCCTGGTCATCAAACTCACCATTAGCATAATTAACACGAATGTCAACAGTTCACAACAGCTCATTTCTTCTGCTAAAGGTAACCGGTTCACACATGCGCATTCTGTCACCAAGGCTCACCTCCCATGCCTCCCTGTCCCACGTGAGGCAGGCAGGTTCCTACCAGCAATTGGGCAAGTTGAGGGTGATGCTGGCCTGAGTGTCTGAGCCAAACTTCATGTAGCCCAGAGTCCCTAGGCAGATGTAGAGGAAGATGACAAAGGACATCCCTAGATACAGCACGGCAGGAAATTGCTGTGGACTCTTCATCTGGCTTTTGAGAGGAAGAACCTGGAAGCAGACGGTTTGGGAAAGACAAGGTAGAAAGGAGCAGCCATTGTGTGGGTGTAGGTTTCCTTACAGGTGTTCTCCTGGTGTATTGAGTCAGCAGGGACCCCTCCACACGGCTACACCCCTCCACACAGCCACACTTGCCATATTGCCATATCACTGCAAATAGCCACACCCCTCCACATAGCCACACCTTCTCCAGATGCTCTTTCCCCCTTCATCTCGTCTCATGCTTGCTATTGCCCCAACACTCTGCTCAGTAAATTTCCATCTTTGTCTTTGTCTTGGAAACTTGAGGTGTTATCTGGGTTGGGAGATGCCCTCATCAGTGCAAACTTTCCTGTCACCAGGAGGGACTCATGCTTTGCTACCCTCAACACTGCTGAGATGACATGGGGACTCACAGCTGGCCACCCTATGGGGCACATCATCTTTCTTACCATCCCCACACCTTCAAAGGTGAAGATGGCTGTGCCGAAGAACAGCAAGAAAGTCTTCCAGCTTGCAACCAGCGGCAGGCTGCTGTGACGTGGGATCTCCTGAAAGACAGGAAGGGTGTTGGTGTTGCTGTGGGGAGGTCATCTTGGATCATGTCCAATAACAGTGTAAACAGCACTATTACTTAATGTCTTAACTTTAAGAAAGTGTTCCAATTAGCTAATTTATTTTGGGACTGAGTCTCCTGCAGCCCAGGCTGACCTTGAACTCTACATGTCCCTGAGAATGATTTTGAATTCCTGAAGCTCCTGTCTCTGTCTCTATCTCCAGTGCTGGGATAACAGGTGTGCACTACTAGGTATGGTTTTATGCGGTGTTGAGGATGGAACCCAGGTCCTCCTGCATACTAGACGAGTACTCTACCCACTCAGCCACATCCTTAGTCTAATTTATCTACATTTATTGTGGCAAAGTAACATCAAACTTTCCATTTAGTCATTTTACCCACTGAGTATATTTGCTTTGTGACATTGCCATCACTACTGTTCATCACCAGAACTTTCTTATCAACCAAACTGTAACTCTTGTTATTTTTTGTTCTCCACCTCTTAGCAACCCATGTCTGTTCTGTTCCCATGAATGTGGCTCCCTAAGTACTTCCTGTGAGCAGGAGCTTGTAGCATTTGTCTTTTTGTGCTTGGCTTATTTTAATTAGCTTAATGTCTTTTAAGGTTCATACATGTTGTAGCATTAGAATTTCATTCCTGGGCCTGGATTTATGGCCCAGTGGTTAAGAGTGTTTGCTGCTCTTCCAGAGGACTGGAGTTCAGTTCCTATCACCCACATCAGGCAGCTCACAACCACCTGTCTGCAACTCTAGCTCCAGGCATCATTCTGATACCCATCTTCTGGCCTTTTGGACACAGACACACACACACACACACACACACACACACACACACACACACACTCACACGGGGGGGGGGGGGGGGGATAAAAATAAATATAAACCCTCCTGTTTTCTTTAGTGCTCAGTAATATTCTACCCTCCCCCCCAATAAAGTTTGTCTTCTCATTAAATATGGAGCAGTCAGGACAGTGGAAGAAGGAAATTGCCCAAAGCTGCTCTGCAAGCTACTCACACAGACCAGGTAAGGGTGCTTGTCCCCTGCTCCTATCCTTTAACACCTCTTTCCTATCATTCCACTTGGGGCTGTGCAGTGTGACAGCTGGTACAGCAGCCATACCAGATTCAAGGAGTGATTATTTGTGTCAGTGTTATCAGGTAGCCCACGCTGGCCTCAAACTTGATCTGTAGCCAAGGAAGGAGTGATTATAATAGATTTCTGTGGTGGATAGGATAAATAAAGGCTTCTCAAAGATGTCTTCATCCTAACCCCAGGAATCTGTGAGCAGATTATGCTATTTATTTATTTATTTATTTATTGACATCGTCTCTCTATGTAGCCCTGGCTACCTGGAACTCACAATGTAGACCAGGCTAGCCTCAAACTCACAGAGATTTGATAGTCACCACTTTGTAAGAACTACGGTTGAAGGCATGAACCACCCAAACTAGGTGGATTATATCATTTTTTTGAGGTAGGTTCTTGCTATGTAGACCAAACCACCTTCCTGTTTTAGCCTCCCAAGGATTATGGGTGAATACCACCATGCTTGGCCAGAGAGTTGAGTTTTCAAAAGGAATTTAGGATGTTAAAGCAGATGACCTTACATAGGGAGACAAACCTGGATTATCTGAGTCAGATAAGGATCCATAGAAGATGAAGAGGGGGTGGTGTACACCTTTAATCCCAGCACTTGGGAGGCAGAGGCAGGCAGATCTCTGTGAGTTCAAAGATAGTGTGGTCTACAGAGCTAGCTCCAGGACAGTCAGGGCTACACAGAGAAACCCTGTCTCAAAAACAAATAAAACAAACAAACAAGACAAAACAAAACAAAAACCCGAAAAAAGAAAGAGAGAGAAATGGAAGAGGAAATAAGATTGCAGCATGGGATGACTCAGCCTAGTGTTGCTGGCTTTGACCATGGAAGGGGCCATGGGCCAAGGCATGCTAAGAAAGGCAGGAAAGCAGACTCAAAACCTCTGGGAAAGCTATAGCCTTGCTGATCTCTGATGAACTCAAGTGAGATATCCAGCACTGTGGGAGAAATCTGTATCATTTTAGGGCCAGGAAATGTAGGTTAGTTGGTAGGGTGCTTGCCCAGCAAGCAAGAAGATCCAAGTTTGATTCCCCAGCTCTGCATAAATCCAAATGTGGTGCCACATGCCTGTAAACCCAGCTCCTGAGAAGTAGAAGCAGGAAGACCACAAGTTCAAGGTCACCCTCCAATACTCAAAGAGCTTGTAGTCAGCCTGGGCTTTATGACACCCTGTTTCAAGACAAACACTCTGAAGCCAAAAAAATAAGTCCAAGTGAAAAACAACCAAAATCTGTGCTGGGTTATAGTTCAGTTGGTAGAGTGCCCGCCTAACAGACACGAAGCCCTGAGTTCAACTGCCAGCACTGCTTAAATTGGGTGTCAAGGTGCATGTCTGTAAGTCTATCTCTCAGAAGTGGAGACAGGAGAATCAGAAGCTCAAGGTCATCCTAGCTACAAAGTCAAACTGGACTACAGTTTTTTATTTTTTTTTTAATTTTTCCAGATTTGTAGTTACTTGTTATAGCAGCAACAGGATACTAACATAATCCCAAAGACTTTCATGATCAAAGACATGAGGCAACAATGGTGGAATGTTAGCACCAATGATGGAAGGTAAACCAGATGGCCCAATCAGAAAGATCTGCTGCTCCTGTTCCTTAGTGTCTTTTTCTGGAAACTGGGATAGAGACAGCATTTTGCAGTTGTTTTATTTCAAAGGTTGGGGAAGTTGTGTAAAGTCCTTGGTACCAAATAGATTAAATTCCTTCTCTGTCTGTCTGTCTGTCTGTCTATCTATCTATCTATCTATCTATCTATCTATCTATCTACCTATCTATCTATTTATCTTTAAAATGTTTCTAATATGTTTACATTTCTGGGGGGAAGGGAACATGTATGCCGCAGTGTGGATGTGGAAGGAAGAGAATAACTTGTGGGAGTCAGTCCTCTCCTTCCACTATGTGGGTTCTGCAGATGGAACTCAGGTCCTCAGGCTTGGAGACAAGCATCTGAGCTATCTAGTGAGCCCTACCTATTTCCTGTCTATTGACCAGTGCTCTATTTCCTATGTGGTGTGTGTGTGTGTGTGTGTGTGTGTGTGTGTGTGTGTGTATGCAGTTGCATGCTCACCAGTGGTGTATATGCATTTGTGTGCATGTACCCATGCCAGTACGTGTGGAGGCCAGAGATATTCTGTTGTTTCCTTCTATTGCTTTTAAGAGTCTCTCACTGAACTTAGAGTTCATCATTTTAGCTAGATTGTCTGGTCAGTGAATCCCCACCTGCCTTCACTCTCTCAATTCTGGGGTTACATGTGTGCCCCACTGTGCTAGGCTGTCATGTGGATACTGGGCATGAGAACTCAGGTCCTCAAGCTAGGGCAGCAAGTACTTCATCCACTGAGCCCTCTCCTAATTTCCATACTGTGATATTTCTTGTTATTTCATTGAAATGATGGAGAGCATGACATCCTTCTTTATTATCAATCCCCATATCCTCATCTTCTCAAACAACACCTGATCACAGAAGGCATTCAGCAATTACCTAGTGATTCAATTTTTGGATATGACCACGATGCTGGAGATGAAGGGTGTTGATGATAATGATGCCTAACCTTTTTGTTTTTTTTTTTGTTTTGTTTTTTGTTTTTTGTTTTTTTTTTTGTTTGTTTTTCAAGACAAGGTTTCTCTGTGTAACAGCTTTAGCTATCCTAGAACTAACTTTATAGACCAGGCTGACCTCAAACTCACAGAAATCTGCCTGCCTCTGCCTCCCAAGGGCTGGGATTACAGGCATGTGCCACCTCTGCACTGGACAATGCCTAACTTTTATAGTTTGTGGGACGGAAGTATTTCTAGAAATCATCTAGGCTCAGGGAAGGGGACCGACCACTTTCCCACCATTTCTGTAACCCTGCCATGCCTCGGAAGCCTTGGACCCTGACCCCCTTCTGTGTGGCTTTAGAGACAGACCTGTATGAGATACTCGAAGATCAGAGCCAGGCTGCCCAGAGTGGTGATGGTGGCCAAGGTGGAGAAGATGGACAACACTTGTGAGTTCTGGACGAGCACCAGCAGGATGAGGAAGGGCAGGATGGTGAGCATGTAGAATCGAGCATCCAGGACGGGCGTCATCACCAGGCTCGTCCTGGGCTGGCAGACATTGGAGGTGAAGTGAGCTTCTTCCACAATCTGCCGAAGGGCACAGTGAAAGGCAGGGCATCCATCATCGTCACCATGGAACCATTTCAGTTGGGATTTCAGCCGACCCACTGACAACTTACTGAGCCAGCAGAAATGATATTATTCATGACTTGTGTGAAATTTCAATACATAACCAAGATGCCTTTAAAAACAGTTTTTTTTTGGGGGGGGGGCTAGAGAGGTTTCTCAGTGGTTAAGAACACTGGTTGCTAATACCCATGTGGTGGCTCACAGTTCTAGGAAAGCCAACACCTTCTGACTTCCATGGGCATGTAGTACACATACATACATGCAGGCAAAACTTAAAAACACATAAAAATAAAATAAATAAATCCTTAAAACATTTTTAGATTTATTTAATTTTATTGTATTAGTGTTTTGCTTGTATATTTATGTAAGTGGGTCATGTACGTGCCTGGTGTTGGAAGAGGTCAAAAGAGGGAGTCAGGTTTCCCGGAACAGAGTTACAGTTACCATGTGGTGCTGGGAATTGAGCCTGGGTCTGGGTCCTCTGAAAAAGCAACAAATGCCATCTTTACAGCTCTATAGGTAAGTGTCTCCTGGTAGTTTGTGCAGTTATGCATGTGTGTTCCTGGAAGCAGGGATCCAGAGGACAAAGTCAATATTGTTCCTCAGGTTTGTCAACTTTTTTTGTTTGATTTTTGGCACAAGGTCTCTCATTAGCCTAGTACTGGACATGTTAGGCCAGGCTTGCCATCCAGTGAGCAGCAGGTGCTCATCTGTCTTTGTCTCCTCAGCACTGGAAGTACAGCTGCATGCCACCAAGCCCTGCTTTTTAATATGAAGGTTGTGGGTATCATTTCCCAGGACCCACATGGTACTCACGACCTTGTGCTTGCAAAGCAAGAAATTTACTGACTGAGCTATGCTCTCACCTGCCCCCTCACTCTCTTTTGAGATAGGGTCTCATGGATGTGATGCTGGCCTCTAAACTTGAACTTTTGATCATTCTGCTTCTACCTTCCAACTGTTGGCATTACAGATGTGTCTGGTTTTGGGTGTCCTGTGTTTGTATTTGGCAGTCCTAGCCACCTTAACTGTAGTGCGTGTGATCCTGACAACCGGAAACCCTGGGCATCATAAAACCCAAAGACCCAACGGTCTTTTTGTCTGATTGACAATCTCTTATTCCCCATGAAGTGGTGATTTCTGTTTCCCCTCACATGACTAGAGAAAAGGTTTTGGTTACATAAGCACATCCTCTTTTAGACTTAGCGGTCTAAGCTGGGCAGGGCTGGGAACCCAGCAGTCCCTTCTCCACCAGGCCCTCTGTTTCACAGCTCACTGTTCTTCCTGAATGGCTGGATGTGCTCCTCCATCCCAAAAAGCTGTAAAAGAATGCTCTCACTGACTTGTCTCATGTTAGGAACGTGATGAAGGCAACAAGGTGACAGCTTGTTAGACATCTTGGATGTGACAATCTGACATCCTAAGGTAGATTTCATCTATGCTTTCCAGACTGAAGATGTGGGGCTTTGGCTTTGTTCTGGTTCCAACTGCGGTCTAATGTGGGGCAGGCAGGCTCGAATGCTAGTCTCAACTGACATCCCAGCATCAGGAGGTCTGCTCTCCCTGCTCTCCCCGCAATCCCGCTCTCCCTGCTCTCCCTCCTACTTTGCCCAGAAGAGCCCTCTTTACCTGCTGTAAGTTGTCTGCCATAAACATGAAATACACACTGCAGAAGCCCAGCTGAGTGATGATCAGCAGGAAACTCACAATGTACCTGTGACGGAAGAGGACGAGGAGGGAAAGAAGTTACTCTTTAGACTGGGTTTCTTTTTCAAAACAATTATTTCTCATCATTGGATTTTGAGAAATTTCAGCCCCTTAGAAACAGCTGAGAGTATGGTAGGATTAACACCCATAAACTCTGGCTTGAGGTTTTGTTTTGTTTTTTGAGATAGGGCCTCATGTAGTTCAGGCTGGCCTCTCATTAGCCAGATAGCTAAGTGCGACCTCGAACTCCTGATTTTCTAGCTTCTACTTCAAGAGCGCGGACATCACCACAACCACCAGCATCCATACACTCTAATAAATGTATGAGTATTTTGGCCCTAATTTTCATTCTGGATATATATATATATCACACACCACCAACAAAATCCCACACACTCTTAGAATCATTTCAATGATAGTTTCAGAAGTCATGAAACATCTACCTGGAATACCTCAGGCAAATTTCTCCTAATCCTCGATAGACAGAAATCAACTTTAACATCAAATATATAATCTATATTTTAGATATCTTAATGACCTCACAAATACCTTTTCTTTTTCGGGGAGCATGGTCTCACGTAGTCAAGGCTTTAAACTCCCTGTATAGCCCTAGCTGCTTCAGAATCCCTGATTCTCCTGTCTCTACCTCCCAAGTGCTGGAATTGCAGGTGTGCCACTACACCTGGATTAATTTTTATTTTTTGTTAAAAAGTTTCCAAGGCTTTATGTTGTATTTAACTGTACCTCTTTAGTTCTCCCCCCCCCACACACACACGGAATATTTTGCATGCATATGCACCTATTAGGTTTTTTGTTTGTTTGTTTTGTTTTTTGAGACAGGGTTTCTCTGCATAGTCCTGGCTGTCCTGGAACTTGTTTTGTAGGCCAGGCTGGCCTCGAACTCACAGAGATCCACCTGCCTCTGCCTCCTGAGTGCTAGGATTAAAGGCAGTGTGTACAGCTGGATTACAATAGGTTATTTTGGAAATTTCAGGCCGGCCTTTTTATGAACTGCCCACATGCTGTGTTTGTGTGACTGTTTCCTCCAGATTAGACCTCTGGAAGCACTTCAGGCACTGTTCTGCTTTCAACACACTGGGGGGTCAACGGCCTGTTGTCCTGTGGTTTAGGATTTCTCTTCATACATATACCCCCCTCACTCCTAAGACTTTAGGATTTAATGATGCCCTTTCATAAAGTTGGTTCTAGGCAAACCTATGCATTGTACTTCATTACAATTCTTTTAATTTGAAAAAAATTACCATGTTCTTCCTGCTCTGTGGGTTTTGCTCATTGTTTGTTTGTTTCTTATTTTCTGGTGCTGGGGGGTTGAACTCAGGGTTTCCTGCATGCTAGGCAGGTGCTCTACCCTCTAGCTACATCCCAGTCCTGTCTTGCAACTTTTTACTTTTTGGTGGTAGCTTGAGTTGGCAGACCGTCTGTCCAGTCGGCATATCCTATTTTCTAGGTCCTGCTGGCTTTCTTGTGCATCATTTATCTTGACCTTCCATTCTTGGGAGTTTCTTGTGAGCTGATCTCAGTTCAGGAGGTCTGTTTAGATGAGGTTTCTTCACTGATTTTTTTTCTGGCAAGAGAATTTCAGATTGGATCTTTATATACTCTATTCTATCACAAGACACCTGTGTCATGGGCCAGTGTGAGCTTAGCTTAGCACCCTTGGCAGGTTTTGTCTCCATTGCTTGGTGCCACCCTCCTTTATAAAGTCCCCCCTGACTGTCCATCTATCTGCTTAGCATCTGTCAATGATTGCTACTTATGTGGGGCAGGCAGTTCTTACTCAAGCCACGGAAAATCAAGAACCACTGGGCGAAATGAGACTTCCCTTCAAGTGTTTCCAACTTCTCCTCAGTTACTGATCTCCAAAGAAATGGGACAAGGGAATCCTGGTGGGTGGAGAGCAGAGATCTTGAGTTCTAGTCTTTGCTCTGACACTAAATTCCTGTGTGTTTTTCATCAGCATGCTTGTCTTCTCTGAGCTGTGTAATTTTCCATCTCAACGGGCATGGGTACTCCAGGGGCTGTTTCTGCCCTACATAACTACTTGAGATGTCATCAGACATGGATCCTGATCTCATCTGGCTAATAACTAGAACAATTCCTAATTGGGAGATCAGTACCAGCCTGAGTAGGCGGTGTGGAAGGGGCTGTGCCTGCCTCAGCATTGACTCACTGCCTGGAGAAGGACTGTCAGGGAAGGTCTCATGGAAGGGTCTCGGGATGTCTGTTTCTCCGCTATTAGGGTCTTTTGAACCTCTGAGGTGTTATTTTATGGAGAGAGCCCTAGTCACCCTATTTTTCTAGGGCAGTGAAATCTCGTCCTGGGTCCTATTCTAGGTTGGCGAGGTGACCAGAAATGCTCAAACAGAAAAGCATTTTGAACACACCATTAATGTGTGTGTGTGTGTGTGTGTGTGTGTGTGTGAGTGTGTGTGTGTGTGTGTGTGTGTGTGTGTGTGTGGTACTCAAGTGTATGGTGATGAGGATCTAAGCCAGGGTCTCCAGCAGCTATGCTGCTGAGCTATATGCCTAATTCTCATTTATTTATTTATTTATTTATTTATTTATTTATTTATTTGAGACAGGGTTTCTCTGTGTGGTCCAGGTTGTCCTGGAACTCACAGAGACTCATCTAACTTTGCCTCCTGAGTGCTGAAATCAAAGGTGTGCCCCACCACTGCCTGGCATGCCTAAATGAAAATATTCTGGCACAAGGGTCTTCCTACATCACTATGTTTTGATTCAGACAGGCGTTAAGCTTTGGGTATCTCTGACAGCCTTCAGGGAAGGTGGCTGTCCTAGCCTCCTCCATTACTGTGATAAAAGACTCTGACCAAAACAACATAGGAGAGGACAGGGCTTATTCCATCTTGCACCCCAGGTCACAGTCCTGCCTGAGCAAAGTCAGGACACACACGATGTAAGTAAGACCCTGAAGCAGAGCTCATGGAAGAACATTCTTACTGGCTTTCCAAGGAGTTCGTGTTTAACTACCTTTCTTTCTTTCTATTCCTTTTTTTTTTTTTTTTTTCCCTGAGACAGAATTTTTCTGTGTAGCTTTGGAGTCAGTCCTGAAACTCACTCAGTAGACTAGGCTAGCCTCAAACTCACAGAGATCTGACTGCCTCTGCCTCTTGAGTACTGGGATTAAAGGTGTGTGCCACCACTGCCTGGCCTTTAACTAGCTTTCTTATGTAGACCCAGAGAATGGTGCTTTGGGCTGGGCCCTCCTATACCAATTAACAGTCAAGATAATTACCCATAAGCCAATCTGATCAGGGCAATTTCTCAATTTAGGCTTTCCTCTCAGGCAACTCTATGCTGTGTCAAGTAGATAATTAAAGCTAATCAGAACAGTGGCATGACAGGTCTTTGCTACCAGGACTAGCTCACCATTAACTTCTTACCAAACAAGGTGTAACAGAGTAAAGGTTTCTCCATCTTGTCTCAGCTGAAGTCATATTTGGTTTCTATGCACCTGCCCTGAAATGTCTCATGGGAACACATCCAACCCTGTTCTGGAAACTCCAATTGAAAAGCCCCAGCTAACTGCAGGTTCTTGGCTCTCGTTAAACTGCTTGCTTGCTTCCCCCTGCAACTGCCAATCAGGATGTAGTTTTTCCGTGTTCTTTGTCTTTAAAAACTCCCTGTAATACATATCTGGGGCTGCTCTGTGAGAAGTGTTTCTCTCCAGGCAATCGCAGGCCAGCTTAATACAGACTCTCAATTTGAACTTTTGTTGTGCCAACTGGTCTCTGGGTCATTATTCCATGACAAAGGGAACAAGCTAAATGTCCACCCCCAAGGGAAAGATCAACCAAAACAGGGTAAACATCTCCACCAGAGAACTCCATTAGTCTTCAAATGATGAAATGTGTCTGTATGTCCCAAGATGAGAAAAAAAAGGGTGGTGGAAGCCATGCCATTACCCTTGGGAACCGTGCATAGGTATATTGCATATGGAGCTCCTTAGCCGTCAAGGCCTTTTGGAGAATCCCATCCATTTGGCAAGGACCTGTGGATGCAATACTGCAAACTCCTGAGCTGATCATAGGGAGCTCATGCTTCCAGCTTCTCTAACTTTCACTATGCTTAATGCTATGGTAACTCTTAGTTTTGCCTTGTTAGTTGATGCCTGAGTTTACTGGGAACAAAAGCCTTTACAGAAAAGCCAAATTTCTCTGATCTGTTACAGAAACCAGTTTCTCTAGTCATCTCTGGCTGCCTTTGCTGTCATCCTGAATAAGCAGGAGGAACTCACTTACATTAATGATTATTGTTTACTCAATACCAAAAAGAGATAAATATATTCCAAAGAACTTAGGAACCAAGACAACAGTTTCTTAAAAGATGACATTAAAATCCTTATAGGAACACAGAAGAGAAAAGAGATAGGTCATGAAAGGTCAGACATTTCCCTGGCACTAGGACATCAACACTCAGATACTTTCCCAATATCAAAGTATCAATAAAGGGATCTAAAACTCCAAGGTTCTCTTAAAGAAGTACATTTAGAAATTGCCAGAAAGAATAAAAAAACTTAGTCTCAATAGTTAAAGAGTTAGTTAGGTATCAATCATTACCTTGAGAACTTTATAAAGAATAAGATTATAACTGTAATCCATATAATAAAGGTGACATACAGATTACTCAGAAACTGGTATACACCTGAAAATGATATTCTAAGTATCATGATATTTCAGTTGATCTCATATTGTCAATAATTAATGACAGGGCTCAAATCTCTTATTTTGTAACCACATGTTTGCTGCCAGTTAGGGCACAATATGAATAAGATGTACCTAGATAGATATAAACATTTGGCTTACTACATAATGATATAGGGTAAAGGTCAATGATTTCAAGGGAGTGGGAAAGAAGAAGAGAAACTAAAATGTTAATGATTCTTGGGAAATGATTAAAGAGAAATGATTTGAAACTGCCTATGCTTGAATGCATTAGAACTTGTATAGATAAAGATGGCCTGAGCTAGTCGGGGCCATCAGTTTGAAAGACAACTGGTGGTCAGACACCTCATGTTTTGCTGACTTCATACATCCTTCCTACAGCACAAAAACCCTTCTGGAGCTGGACTCTAGCTGTGATAATTGTTTTTGCTGTTAAAGTGACAGGATATAGGATCACAAGGGAAACAGATCTTTGGGCATGTCTGTGAGAGACATGCTAGAATAAGTTGACTGGCTGGGCTTAGTGGTGCATGCCTTTAATCCCAGCACTTGGGAGGCAGAGGCAGGTGGATCTCTTTGAATTCAAGACTAGCCTGGTCTACATAGTGAGTTCCAGGACAGCCAGGGCTATGAAGAGAGACCCTGTATAAAAACAAACAAACAAACAAAAAAGAATAGGTTAACTGTGGTGGGAAGACTCACACTTAATGTGGGCAGCACCGTTCTATGTGCTGGGACCCAGACTGAATAAAAAGGAGACCAAGATCTGAACACCAGCATCCATCACTCTCTGCTTCCTGACTGTGGATACAATGTGACCAGCTGCTTCCTGTCCCAGCTGCCATGCCTTCCCTGACACCACAGATAGACTCTTCTAGGATGGTGAAATAGACCCTGCCTTCCTCAAGTTGTTTTCCTAGGATACTCTGTGGCAACAACAGGACAAATAACTGTCACACTGTTAGACAAACAAAACAAAACAAAACAAAAACAAAAAAACAAAAACAAAATCTAATTTCAGGCTAGTTGTGGAGGTACATGGCCAGCACTTGGGAAGAGGGAGCAGGGTCAGGATCAGGGTCCTCTTGAGGCTACAAAGCATGTTTGAGGTCAGCAGGAGACCCTGTCTCAAACAAACAAACAAGCAAACAGCAAGCCAGCAAGCAAAATTAATTTCACATTTACACACATGATTCTAATGAACTAGGGCTGGGGTCGTAGGTGGGTTGGTAGAGTTCTAGCTTAGTATTTATGAAGCTTCACTTTTCCACACTGTATTAAAATAGCTTGGTGGGATATGGGAAGTTCAAAGTTCTCCTTGGCTTCTTAGCTAGTTCAAGGTCACCCTGGCATATGAGTGCTTTTCTCCCTTTCTTTCCCACTCACAGACATCTTGATATACGAAGAAAAAGAAAGCATTGGAAGGGCTATTTATGAACCAAGATGAAGAAGGAGATGAGGCTGGGGCCGTTGGGGGAGATCCTCTATCTTGCTTGATAGTTTTAAAAAAGAGCATATCTGCTTAAAAACTTGTGCAAGCAGGGGCTGGAGAGAGGGCTCAGAAAGAGCATATGCCCTTGCAGAGAACCTGTCAGGTTCAGTTCCCAGCACCCACATCAGGTGGTTTATAACCACCCAAAACTCCAGCCCCAGGGAATTTGACACTCGTTTCTGGCCTCTTTGGGAACTTGTACTCATGTACATATGCTCACATATAAACACACAGATAGATATAATTAAACATAAAATTAAAAAAAATGTGTGGGAGCAGACATAAGGGCAGGGCAGGTGGGGATGCAATCATGGTTTTGTCACTGTGAATGTTTGTGACCAGTACCTGCCCCACACTGAGTGCGTCCTCAACCAAGGATTTGGGCATGTTTCCAGGCTGTACATTGTGGTTTCTTCATAGTTCACAAAACTCCTCTGCAGTCTATAGTGAAAGGACAAATGATGAGTAAGTTAAAACACTTTGCTAAAGGTTTAGCATGAGCCTAACCTGGGGACTGTTGTGTATTTGTGTGATAGTGTGGAGTGTTCTGTGAATTTTCTAATAACAGTACCATTAATGCAACTTTCAGAGGTTAATTATTAACTTATATAATTTTTATGCACTTACACTTTTTTTTCTTTTTGAGATAAGGTCTCATGTAGCCTAGGGTGGATGTGCTCATCTGGGGAGGACGTTGAACCCTTGATTCTTCTTCTCCCACCTCCCTGCAGACATGCACTCAGTGGCATGCTTTAAACTCGATATTTAGGTATATTTCCTTTGTTTTGTCTTTTGGATTAAGCAGTATCTGTGCATTGGTTTGAAAAAGCAGAGCAGAAGAGGAAAAGGTGGAGTGGGTGTGGCCAGCCAATGACTGTTTTGGTTTAGGATGTAAACTGTATACTGTGATTTGGGAGCCCCTGGGAAGATGATCTCTTCTTTTCTAAGGGGGAATGGGTGGCTCTGCAGTAGGACCCTTCTGGTCCTGGGTGGGAACTGAGAGGAGCAGCTGATGCTGGCCAGATGCCACATGCATAGTGCTAACTACAGGGCTGGGGGACAGAGAGGTTCAGGACTTTTATGGAGTCTTCTAAACCAGCAGCCACCCCCTGGACTTGGTGTGTGTCTGTCATCTCAGAACTATGATCTCAGGAGATCCAGAGACCAAGTTCATACGACGTAAAGAGTTAGACAGTCTGGAAATAACCTAAACAAAAATGGCAGATAGCCCTCGTTAGATAAAAGACTATTGTCCCAAAAATGTTTACGTCAGAGGAAAAGGAAAGACACCATCAGCCAAAGGGCAAAGCCAGGCTGATGCAACTGTTGGCAGGTTGGTGCCTGCAGGAGGTATGATGGCCTGGAGGGTTTGGGAAAGGGGGGCATTCAGAGATTCGCTGATGGTTAAGAATGGATTTAATAATAAAAAGAAAGAGTGAAAGAAGGAAAGAAGGAAGGAAAAAGAAAGAAAGAAAGGAAAAAGAGAAGAAACAGGGTAATACAGAGTGGGAGGGTGGGGAAGGGAGTGGATCTGAAAAGAACTGGAGGAGGGGGTGAGTGTGATCAAATTGCTTTGTATGAAATTTTCAAAGAACTAATTAAAAAAAAAGAATGAAGTTATACAGGTCTTCAAAGATCAGTCCTGCCATTTCCCAATTGTGTGACCCAGGGCAAGGTATTTAAGCCAAAATGTATTCACCTGTAAGATGGGAATAAAAACAGTCTCCATCCCAGAGGGTTCCTGGAAGGAGAACAGAAATCTTGCAAAGCCCTTGGCTCAACAGAATCACACCATTTACATCACTGCTGAATGAGCAAAAAGCCGATGTATGGCAAGCTTATGAACTGAAAGGGCTTTCTGGGTTGAGTGTGGCCAGCAAACACTCCAGGTGCATCTGCTATTTGGGTTCTATTTATTTGGCTTTTTGATGAGTTTTGGGGACTGAACTTGCATGCTTGGCAAGTGCTCTACCACTGAGCTACATTTCCATCCCATGAAAACTTTTACTTAACATCCTTGCTTCAGAAATGCCCATGAGAGCTGGGATTGACATGTAAAAGAAGCTTGTTTCTAATTTTAATTTTAAAAAGGAAAAAAATGCTCATGATATAACCTAGGCTGGCCTGGAATCAACAGTCTTCCTACCTCAGTCTCTGTATAAGGCCTTTCCTCTCTCCCAAGGACATACCGAATGTAGCAGGAGTAGCTGGGCCCTGAGGAGCTCAGTATTCTGTATTTTCATTTTTTTTTTTAAAGAAAGAAACCAGTCTGGTGGAGGTGGTGCACACCATTAATCACAGCAATCGGGAGGCAGAGGTGGGCAGATCTCTGTGAGTCTGAGACCAGCCTGGTCTACAAAGCAAGTTCCAGGACAGGCTCCAAAGTTACACAGAGAAACCTATCTCAGAAAAAAGAAAGAAAGCAAAAGAAAAGAAAGAAACCACTGAGCCATCTCTCCAGCTCTCAGTGGTTTTTATATTATTTTTCATATGTATAAACCTGTGTGTGTGTACATGTGAGTTCAGGTACCAATGGAGGAGGCCAGAAGAGGGCATTGGATCCCCTGAAGCTGGAGTTACAGGCAGTCATGAGCTACACAGTGTGGGTGCTGGAATTAAACTTGGATCCTCTGGAAGACCAGCAGGCTCTCCCATCCTTTCAGTCCCCCAGATATGTGTTTATGCCCAAAGACATTGATTGAAAACTGCTCACATCATTGCTAACTGTGTCTTTCACTTTTATTAACTTGTCTTGAAAGAGTTTTCCTGGGACAAGTGGCCCTGACAATGTACCTGTATTGGGTTAGGGAGATGAATAGGAAAAAAGGACATGGGACTGTAGCTCATTTGATAGAGTGCTTGCCTAGCATACATGAGGCCCTGGGTTTGATCCCCATCACTGCATTAATGGGGCATGAACTCACATGACTCACTGGAATTTGGGAGGTAGAGGCAGAGGGATCAATTTTTTTGTTTTTGGTTTTTTTTTTTCTGGTATTTTGAGAGAGGGTTTCTCTGTGTAGCTTTGGAGCCTATCCTGGCACTCGCTCTGTAGATCAGGCTGGCCTCAAACTCACAGAGATCCGACTGCCTCTGTCTCCCAAGTGCTGGGATTAAAGGCGTGCGCCACCAACACCCAGCTGGGGATCAGGAATTCTAACACATCCTCAGCTACACAGTGACTTAGAGGCAAGCCTGGGCTTCATGGCTCTGAAGAAACAGCTTAGTGGTTAGGAGCACTTACTGCTTTTACAGAGTACCTAGTACCGACATGGTGGATCACAACTGTCTGTACCTCCAGTTTTAGGGAATCTGATGTTTTCTTCTGTTCCTAGGGAGCTCCTGCCCACACATGGTACATGTAAACTCATGAAGGTACACATATACATAGATAAAATAAAATAAAATTTCACCCCTCCCCCAACAAACCAGGAGGCTGTCTGAGAGTCCTGCACATACCCAGAAGTTCATAGGGCACTTTTGCACATTTTATCACCTTTGATGCCTCCAGGTGAGGAGAGTGAGGCTCAGAGGGGTGTGGGAGCAAGAGTGGCTTTAACTCACTAGTTGCAGTAGTTACCAAGACACCGTATTAGCTTCTTTTTGAGGTGTGGGGACGGAGCCCAGAGCTCACGAGTACTAGGAAGCCTCTGCCACAGATCTACCACCCTGGCCTTATTCTGCTGTAACCAAGCACATGACACAAAAGCAGCTTCAGGGAGGCAGGCAGGGATTATTTTGTTTCACTGTTTGAGGGGACACAGTCCTGTAGCAGGCTTTCATGGACTACCAGCCCCCAAATCATGACATGATGACTTATTTATTAATAATTATGAATGCTAGCATCTTTTCTTCTTAAACTAATCAATTTCTATGTGCTGTTCTGAGGCTCATTGATCTAATTTACATACTGTCCATCCTGCTTTCTTGCTTCCTTCACATCTGGCTGGCTCCCACCCCCATGCCCACTGCTGGCTGGCTACCAGCCAACTTGACCCCAGATAGCTGGCTGGCTCCCCTTTTCTCTCTGCCCACCAGCCCTGCCTATCCCTCTTTTAGGCAAAAGCTATTGGCCATCAGCTTTTTGTTACATGAATCAGGTGCTTTAGGCAGGCAAGGTAAAACAGCAACACATTTTTAAATAGTTAAACATACGCAGCATCAACAAAAGCAACACACCTTTGTGGTGATATCACACACCACAAATAAAGCTTGTTCAATAAAGCTTGTCGGAAGACCAGAGGATGGAGTTTGCCACTAGCTAAGCATAGAGGTGTGAAGGTCTACACAGACAGACAGGAAGTCAGATGGTTGGACAGAGACAGTATATAAGCAGGAAGAAACAGGAACTCACTTTCTTTTCCTCTGGGAAGCTAATGAGGTAAAGATGGCTTTGGCTTGCTCCTTCTTCTCTCTGATCTCTCAGCATTTTCCTCTATATCTGACTCTGAGCTTTTATTATTTAGACCAATTAAGAACTCCATTTACACAGCTTTACATAGTTAAACAAGTGTTCTACTCCACAACACTCTTCTGCAATCCCTTTGCCACCTCTGGAGGATCCAGAGCAGCAGAAGTGGCAGCCTGGAGAAGTGGCCCTGGAATGGAGCCCATGGGGTGACTCTAACCTCTGAGTGAGGTGGCTGGCACATTTCAGCAGGATATCCATACAGTGCACTGTGAGGATCCCAATGGCCAAGAGGCTGATAGGCCCCACCTAGAGGGACAGGACAGGGAGACAGTAAGATGAAATCTGACTACATCCACAGCTAGTCCTGGTGTAGTCTGGACAGTAGGGCTCTTCACAGAATGAAATTCTCTAGTTGGGCTGTTGATCAGTGTTGGGGGCTTTTCTAGCATGTGTGACATCCTGAATTCCATCCTAGCACTGTCTCAAAGCAGACAGAAAACTTGCTAGATAATGGAAGCACATGCCAATAATGCTGGCACTTAGTCTGAGGCATAAGGATCATGGTGAATTTGAGGCCAGATTGAGCTATGTGGTGAGACCCTGTAATCAATCAATCAGACAGTCAGCCAGCCAACCAGCCAGCCAGCACCACAATCCATCAGTCAGGCAACTTTCTTGGTGCCAGAGCAATTGATTCTAAAGTGTAGTTTATTGTAAAATTATTAAGAGTCCACACATATTTCAGCTTTATTGAGCCTTTTAGGAGAGCCATTCTGCATATTCCAGTATGCTTTGGTGAATAAATAAGTATTTATTTCAGCTCTGGGTAGAATAATGAAGTGAAAGCTCCCTGTGAAGGCCTTTCTCATTGGCCTCCAAGTAAGCTCCTCCAGTCCTCATGCTAAACTAAATTCCGTTATACACCTTAGCCCCAGCTTTCCTAAGGTCCTCAAAGACCAAGGTTCTTTTTGTGATGCAGTGCCTTTCTCTCAGGATAGTTAACCAACAGGACCCAGGGACACTGGCAGGTTTGTCTGTTGTGAAGAGTCACCTTGTGCAGTTCGGGATGTAACAATTGAAACTGTCCCTGGATGTTACAGATTATTGGGGGAGGGGGTGGAGCTGGTGCAGAATATTGTCCCCAGAGGATCACTCCAGCAAGTCTGCTTGTCAGACCCCATTTAAGAAGCAAGGTTGATTGTGAATCACAGTCTTCTGGATGTGACCAAAGGGCACAATGTCCTGGGTGACATCATTTTGTCACAAAGAAACAAATGAGGGGTCAAGAGTGCTGTTAGACCCCACTAGGAGGCAGTCCCCACATGGCAGAACCTCTCCTCTTGTTTGCAACATTTAACCCTGGGGCCTGGCACACTCCTAGAATGACCTGTAAGCATTTCTCAGTGGATCACCATCAGAAGGGCATGGAGGGTGCCAACAACTCTCGGAGGCAAAGAGGGCAGCCTAAAGAGCTGGCAGGGCATCATGGGGCATTCTGGAAAAGTCTGGCTGAGGCCACACAGGTGTAACACTCTTCTGCTGACATCTATCTAAAAACTAGAGGGTGACCAAGAAGAGGGTCCTCCCTCTGGCTGGTACAGTTAGTCATCAGAAATCAGGCAGGGGGAAGCAAGGGGCCACTTCTCAGGCCTGGAAAAATTCTAAAGAGAAATAAAGAGAAATTCTTCACATAACACTAACCTTTCCTCATGGACACCACTGGGGCTTTCTGTGGCTGGTCTCCAGAGCAGGACTGGGGGGAGGGGGGGGGAGAAGGGGTCACGTGGTTCTTTATCAAAGATTCAGAGCAAGTATGCCAGACTTTTGCAAGCTCCCTAAGGACTCCAGGGGAGACACATGTAAGGTACAGCTTTCACATGTATAGGACACAGTACAGTTTTTGAGAGGAGGCATAAGCCAGGAGATAGTGTCAGCTAGGTGTAGGGGACATGGGGATTGGTGGGGACATCTTTATTCTCAAGCCTATCCCCTATCTCATACACTATCAGATGGTTTATATCCTTATTTTTATTTCTCAGTGCTTAGGGTTGAACCCAGGCTTTCATGCCACCAGTTTTGAAACTAAGCTACATCCTCAACCCTTGTGGGTATTCTGTTTTGTTTTCTTTTTGAGATAGTCCCGCTATGTAGCTCAGGCTGCCTCGAAACTCACTCTATAGTCTAGGTTGGCCTTGACCTGGAGAACTTCTTGCCACAGTCTTGCCACAGCCCCACTTGCCACTTCATTATATGGTATGAAACAGGGGTCACACACATACGAGTTTTCAGAAACAAGGTGATTGCAGTGTAAAAGGGAAGGCGGGTGACATGAGATTCCAGGGACTGGAGAGAAGGGTGGCGAATGGGGATTCTGCTTGTGAGCTGGACTTTGAGTAATGGCTGCGCAGTGCTCAGTGCGTTTCCTGGTTGGTTCCAAGAAACTGATGGGCACAGCTGCTATTGCAGAACCCAGTCCCCCAGAGTCACCCATCACAGAGATCTAGAGACACCCTCCCCCACACGCCACTAATTTGGATGAATCTTGCTTCTAGCCCACAGTGCCTCTTACCAGCAATCCAGCATTTTTCACAGCCAGGGGAAGCCCCAGGAACCCCGTGCCAATGTTGCTTTTCAACAAGTGGATAAAGATTTGCATAAACCTGTGGTAAGGAAAGTGAGAGAACAGGATATTGTGGGGAGGAATGGGAGGAGGGAAGGGTGGGAGAAGGGAGGGAGGGAAGGAAGAGAAAGAGGGAATGGAATTGAAAAGGGCTGCCTAGACAGGACTAGCTCCCAATGAGCCCCCCTCAGCATCTCTCTCTCTCTCTCTCTCTCTCTCTCTCTCTCTCTCTCTGTGTGTGTGTGTGTACATGCATGTGCATGTACGCGGGTGTGTTGGGGAAAGTATAGAACCAGCTGTGTAGATTCTAGTGTGACCAGGGTACTATCCTGGAACATGTGATTCAGGGCTATGCCAGTTCAGGGCGCTCAACAAACAGGAAACTCTAGAGGTGAAGCAAATAGAAATTGCCACCATTTGGGAGACTCATTGGGGTTTATTCTTCCAAATAATAATTGTTGAGGCCTACTACACTTCTAACATTCAGAAAGATAGTGAAGACATTAGTAGTCACTGTTCCAATCCATAGAATACTTGTTGGGAGATCTTTTTAAATTTAATTAAAAAATTTAAAGACTTGTCTTTTGAGACAGAGTCTTGTGTAACCCATGATGGTCTCAAATTTGCTATGTAACCCAGGGTGACATTGAACTCCTGATCTTCCTGCTTCTACCTCTGAAAGATGAGATACCACCATGTCTGCTTACTAGGTCATTAACTTACTAGAGAAGGTTTAATAATTGTGTAGAGTATATGAAGCATTTACTAATCCTATTCAACTCTTCATACATCAACTCAGGCAAAATTCATTGAATAAATACATACAGATCTCTACAAACACATAACACAGACTCTTGCTATGCACTGAGTGGCTAAAATGCAAAGCTAAATAGCCATTGCTACTGTGTACAGTACTATGAGTATTGAGTACGATGTGCTCAGGGAGTGCTAGGTCTGAGGGTTCCAAGTGCTCTTTACACCTGTGCTGGCAGCTGCTAGCCAGATTGGGACTAGTAGGTATGACAGGACCACGAGAACAGTATTAAGGGTTACCACCGGATCTCCTTGGAGGAGCAAGCAGGGGCTAGATTAAACTGGCAGTGGCACCCCTTCAAACTGAAGTAACGGGGTTCCAACAGATAGAGTATTTTAGAGACTTGGGGTGAAGGCCACAGGAAGGCCCAAACCCTCTTTTGATCTCTCTAACAACATGGGAGAGACAGGTTCATTTGCCCACATCATTTCTAGCATCTCAGTTCACTCAGAAGCATTCTGGACACCAGTCTTGCTATACAGTTATTTCTTTTCTTTTCTTCTTTTCTGCATGACAGAAGAGGGCATCAGATCTCATTACAGATGGTTGTGAGCCACCATGTATGTGCTGGGAATTGAACACAGGACCTCTGGAAGAGCAGCCAGTGCTCTTAACCTCTGAGCCATCTCTCCAGCCCCTATACAGTTATTTCTTATTCAACTACAATTATTGGAAAATATATCACAGTCTCATTCCATTTACACAGTTCCATTGCCACAGTCTTCCAGTGCTACTTGGGACTTCATATGGTATGAAACAGGGGTCACACACATACAAGTTTTTCCTTTTGTCAGTTCTTTAGGAGTAAGTTGTTTTATAGAGATTCTCCTCCCTTCACCCCTCCTTTCTGTGTTATTACAGATAGCACTGGCCTCACTTGTACCTGACCTTCTGGGAAAGATGAGGTGTTATGGGAAACCATGGCATCTTGGGTAACAACACGGCACCTTGGGTCATAGGGCCTTGGACAGCACACATACACTGGGGGCTATGCCAAGGCATTTACAAAAGCTAGCTTTGTATTTTTCCCTTGGAAAACAATACATCATTACTGTAAAGGAAATGCCCATGACCTATCAATGAGAAATAAGCACACATTAGATGGCCAATTCCTATTTACTTCTAAGTGTGCAGAATTTTTATCCAAGGACCCATAGCACTTGAAGTGTCCTGGATGAATTCCCTTGTGAATGATGGGTACTCTGTGTTTTTTGGTGTTTGAAGAGTGCCTCCATATTTATATAGACGTGTGAAAGAAACTAGATAGTAACACTATCATAAGAGATTCAGAAGTTAAAAAAAAAAAAAATCAAAGAACCTTGTGAATAAAGACTGCTCTCCTAGCCAGGTGGTGGTGGCACACAGGTTTAATCCTAGCACTCAGGAGGCAGAGGCAGATGGATCTCTGTGAGTTTGAGGCCGGCCTGGTCTACAAAGCTACATAAAGAAACCTTATCTCGAAAAATGAAAAAACAAAAAACAAATCAAAACAAAACAAAACAAAAAACCCCCTGTTCTTCTGTCTCTGTCTCCCAGCCTCTTACTTCTCTTCCTCAGAAATCATGGTTGCTACCTGGTGTGTGTGTGTGTGTGTGTGTGTGTGTGTGTGTGTGTGTGTCCAAGCATGGGTGTGTGCTCATGCATGTGTATGTACTTTTCATTTTTCTTCCTCTATTTCTCTGTTTCCCCTAACCTCTGGAAACCATGTCCTTGTGCCTGGTGGGCAAGGGCTGTATCCCCAAGCTATATCTCCAGCTTGTCTATGTACTTTCAAAGATATATCAAATAAGTAGTTGTAGCTTTTATGTAAATGGCATTTTAGGGTTGGATATAAAATATCACCACTGCTTGTCAGGGTTGAGGCATTCCAGCAATCCCAGCACTCAGGAGGCTGAAGCAGGAGAATTGCAAATTTGAGGCAAGTCTGGGTTACAGAGTGAGACTCTGTATAGAGAAAATCTTCTATATGTCTGAATGTGGGGTAACTGGGTGATCCTTTGTTTACAGGAAGGTATATGTCTTTTGGGGAGATAGACTGGGATAGAGACCAGGCAGAGAGGAACCCCCCCCCCCCTGGTGTCAGGGATGTGCTCTCTGTGTCCCGCAGCTCAGGCTGTGGACAGCTGCTCTGTCTGGGTTCTTTGCAAGAATTGGGAAATATGCTATTCCCAGACAATCCCCAGAGCTACAGTCAACATTCTTAGGCTCCAAAACCTAAGGCTGTGTTACCAGGGAACATGAGGAGGGCCTTTGGAGCTGAGGTCCGGATGTACTTGCCCTGGAAGGGTGATGGGACCACTCACAGTAGTGCATCGGCTTCCCCTTGAGGGTCCTTCTGTGGAGAGACATTGCTGCTGCTGCCGTTGCTACTGCTGCTGCTTTTTGAGGGGGCCTTAGATACACCGAACAGATTTCGCTCACGGTTGCCATCTTTTCTAAGCAGTGACGACTTTACCATTGCGAGCAGGTGGCAGAGGTACAGCACCCAGCTATGGCAAGCTGGTACAAGTCCTCAATGGGCTTTCACCAGGAGAAGCCATACAGCAGGTCTTAGAGGCTGGCTCCTGATGCTTGGGTGTGCCTGGCCCTGGGTGAAGCCCAGAGTGTGGGGGTCAGAGGACAGTGGCTAGAGAGGCTGGCATTGAGGTTGCCCCTCCAGGCTCTTGAGGCACCTAGGACAGTGTCACAGATCCCCTCAGGACTGCCTTGACACCTCTCAGGACTCACACAAACTTTCAGCCTGTCTCCCAGCTCAGCCCTTGATGCTGTGGTCCCCAGAGAACACTGAGTGGGAGGGGAAGGGATCATTAGACTGAAGTTCTGGCACCTCTCTGTGGGCTCAGGCTCAGGGTTTGTTGCCTCTGGCAAGGACCAAGCCACAGCTACCTCACAATGGAGGGTGCCCAGGCAATAAGCTACTACCCAGGATGCAAAGTGCCACCTGTCTTAGCCTCTCCAGCTAAGAGGTAAGCAATGGCTTGTGCCAACTCAAATGCCAACTGTTCAGATCTTCTGCCAGGAGGACAGTGTGCACTGCCACCTAATTAGGAAGGGGGTAAATATATACTTTTAAAAAGCCATTTGTGGGCAGGAGAGAGGGATCAGTTGGTAAGGCATTTGCTTTGCAAGCATGAGGACATGAGTTCGGCCCCAGAACCCATGGGAAAAAGCTAGGCGTGGTGGTGCACACTTGTAATCCCAGTGCTAGGGAGGTGGGGACCAGAGGATTCTTAGGGCTCACTAGTCAGCCTAGTCTACTTGGTGAGCTCCAGGCCAGTAAGACACACACACACACACACACACACACACACACACACACAGAGAGAGAGAGAGAGAGAGAGAGAGAGAGAGAGAGAGAGAGAGAGAGAGAGAGAGGAGAGAGAGAGAACAGAATCACACACAAGATTGGTGGCTAGGGCATGGTAGCGTGTCTTTAATCCCAACACTCAGTAGGCAGAGATGACAGGTGCATTTATGTGAGTTTGAGACCAGCCTATTCTACACAGTGAGGGCCAGGCCATCCAGGGCCATATAGTGAGACCCTGTCTCAACAAGCAAACACCCACAATTCACACCATGATGGACTGAAAGCCCTCTGGAGCCACAATGACCATTCAAGTGTAAACTACCTCTGTCAGTTATTTGTGATCTCAACAATGAAAAGGTAACCAATGAAATCACCTGCCCAGGGCACAGTGAGCAGTGATTTAAAGCAAGATGGTAAGGAAACAAAGTGAGTGAACTCTGAACAGTTTTTTTCCCCACTTCTTTTTTTCTTTTTGTAGAAAGATTCACTTATATATTTGGGGACACAACACGGTGTGTTTGAGGTCAGAGGACAACCTGTGGAGTCAGTTTTCTCCTTTCAGCATGAGGGTCCTGCAGTTCAAACTCAGGTTGTGAGGCTTGGCAGCAAGTTCCTTTACTGGCTGTGCTACCTCCTATCTCCTCCGGATACTATGTTGTTGTTTGTTGTTGTTGTTGTTAACGTTACATTTTGAGATAGGGTCTCTTTAGTAGCTCTGCCTGGCCTGGAACTTTTTAAAAAAAAACCAGCCTGGTCTCAAATTCATAGAAATTCACCTGCATCTGCCTCCCTAGTGCTGAGATTAAAGGTGTGTGCCACCACATCCGGCTGGTGAGTCCTGTTTTAATGTGAAAGCCCAGAGGATGTGCTGGTGGACTTTTTATGAGGCACAAAAGAAAGGGAGCAGTCAAGGATCACCCCGATACTTGGGGGCTGAGGAAGGGGAAGAATGGGCAGGGCATCAGCATAGTCTTGAAGCTGCCTTCCCAGAGTTGGTGCACTGTGGTCTAATTGTGTGTTTATGGGGGTGGTCTGGATACTTTGCTTATGATGGCACCACTGTCACACACTTCACCCTTGAGTTGTACCATCGCCATGACAACCTTGAGGGGCCACTTGCTCCCCTGCAACCTTTAATCCTGCCACAGAAGCCATTGTGAGCCTCTTGTACTCCTCAGTGGCAAAGGAACTCCCCCGCCCCCACCTCACGCCTAGCTGAGGAGCTACTGGTGCTTGATGGCTTCTAAGAGAGGAAGAGCCAGTTTTAAGGCCATGGCCTTAATAGGATGAATCTGCTCCAGTGAACGGTCCCACACCCATGAGTGTATGGGTGTCACAAATTGGATTCAGTGTGTAATTAAAAAGAAGAAGCAAAATTAGGAAGTGGTTGATCGAGGGTGGATCTGGAAAGACTGGGGGGATGTGCTGGACAGTTTTATGTCAACTTGACACAGGCTAAAATTATCTGAAGAGGAGGGAACCTCAATTAAGAAAATGTCTCCATAAGATTGGGTTGTGCAGGGTGGTGGTGGCGCATGCCTTTAATTCCAGCACTTGGGAGGCAGAGGCAGGCAGATCTCTGTGAATTCTTGTAGACCAGCCTGGTCTACAAGAGCTAGTTCCAGGACAGCCTCCAAAGCCACAGAGAAACCCTGTCTCAAAAAAATAAAATAAAATAAAAAATAAAAAAATAAAGTGGATTGTAGGCAAGCCTATGGGGCATTTACTTAAGTAGTGATTGATGGGGGAGGACCCAACCCATTGTGATGAGGTCATCCCTGGCCTAGTGGTTATAGGTAGTATAAGAAAGCAGACTGAACAAGCCATGGAGAACAAGCCAATAAGCAGCACTCTTCCATGGCCTCTATCAGCTCCTGTCTCTAGGTTCCTGCCGTGTTTGAGTTCCTGTTCTGGCTTCCTTCAGTGATTGACTATGATGTGGAAATATAAGCCAAATAAACCCTTTCCTCCCCATCTTGCCTTTTGGTTATGGTGATTCTTTGCAGCCATAGAAACCCCAACTAAGTCATGGGGAAAGAGGAGAATATGATCAAAATACATTGTATGCATGTGTGAAATTCCCAAAGAATTAATACAAATATTATATTGAAAAAAAAAAAGAATAGTCTGTCAGGGTCACATGGCAGCTCTGTTGCTTCTGTTTTGAGGAACCAAAGCATGCCCGTTTTCACAGTGGCAGCACCAGTTGACAGTCCCACCAGTGGTGGGTAAGGCTGCCTCTTTTCTGTGGTTCTGTGTTAAGGTGTCTGTTTGCACTTGAACAGGGTGGAGGAGGACACAATAAACACTCAGCTAAGAAGACAAAGGGGCGGGGTCACAGGTCCCAAATGCTTCGTTCAGGTCACAGGAAAGAAACCTCAGATGAGGAAGGTGGTAGAAATCACACCCTAGAGTCAATAGTCTCCTCAGAGTGCCTGAGTGCTGGCACTCGTCCCCCCAAAACAGCCACCAACACAATATGGCAATTCTGCTTTTGGAAAAGAGTATGGTTATAGTATATGAGAAAATTTACCATCGTCACCATGTAGGCCATTGTCACTAAGCACATGGTTCATTGTACTTTTATAGGGTTGTGCAGTTTCCAGGACTCTTCATTAGGATGAGTGGGTATGGCAGTGCATGAGGTGAGGGTCAGGGACAGAGACAGAAGCAACCTGATCTCTGTGAGTTTGAGGCCAACCTGGTCTACACAGGAAGGTCCAGTCGAGTCAGTGCTGTAGAGCAAGACCCTGTCTCCAAATTTAGGGGTGGTCGTGGTGAAATGGATTAGTGGTTAAAAATACTTGCCACCAAGCCCGATGACCTGAGTTTGATCCCTAGAACTCCCATGGAGAGAGGAGAAAACAGATTCTCAAAGTTGTCCTCTAAGTTACACACACACACACACACACACACACACACACACAGAGAGAGAGAGAGAGAGAGAGAGAGAGAGAGAGAGAGAGACTTGTATGTGTGCACAGACACATACACAATAAAGAAATGCAAACAATGTAATTCTTTAGAAATATTTTTTCTACTTTCTCTTTGACTTTCCACTTTCACTTTGTACAACAACCTTTAGGCTGGCAGAGCAGCAGGGCACTGACGCTGAATGCCTTGGTTACACACCCTCTTCTCACTATGTTGGTCTTCAGCAAACTAATATTTCTGAGTCTGGTTCTTCATATGAGAGTGTGTGTGTGTGTGTGTGTGTGTGTGTGTGTGTGTGTGTGTGTGTGTGTAACTGTTCTTACTGCTGTTACAACCACATGGCAGAAGCAACTCAAGGAAGGAAGGGGTTATTTTGACTCTCTGCTTGAGGGCACAGCCCATCATGGTGGGGACAGCATGGTGGCAGGAACGTGAGGCACCTGATCACATGGTATCTGTTCAGGAAGCAGAGAGAGGGGAATGCTCACACTTAGCTTCTTTCTTCCTTTTTATTCAGTTCACAACCCCATCCACGGCACAGTGCTGCCCATACCCAAGATGGGTCTGTGCTTCCCTGTCAACCCTCTCTGGAAACACACCTCACGTGTGGGTGTGTCTTCAGGGACATAGTTTTCTGTACTCCCTGATTCAACATCGAGCCCCAAAAAGTTAAAGAAATGGGAGTTGATTTGGGTGTGGTGGCAGGTATTTGTAATCTGAGGAGAGGGAAGCAGGAAGATGAGGCATTCAAGGACAGCCTCGGCTACATAGCAAGGAGGAGGAAGAGGAAGAGGAGGAGGGAGGAGTCTTTAGTGGAGATGGGAGAAATAAACAGACAATACTAACAACTTGAAAATAGAGCTGTCACTCAGCTATGCTTACCAGTAGCTGAGATGATGTGGATAATTGCTAATGAGCCCTAGCTGGCATCTGTCCCTTACATCAGTGTTTCTTACTTTATTCACTCCAAGATTTGGCTAAGGCCAGTTAGTTCTCAACAATAAGATTAGGTGCTGGAGAGGTGGCTCAACGATCAATAGTGCTTGCTACTCTTGCAGAGGCCTGAGTTCTATCACAACCACCTGTAACTCCAGATGCAGGAGATGTGATAGTCTCCTGTGGCACACACACACACACACACACACACACACACACACACACACACACACACACCAGCAGTCAGTTCCATGGAGCAGAAAGAAGATGGCAGTCTCAGGGTAGAAGCCATCACCAAATCTCCATTTATATTACATTTACTGTTGGCCAAAGCAAGTTTTGTAAGATCAAGACTCAAAGGGTCACATGTAGACTCCACCATTTGGTAGCTGGAGCTGCAACATTACATTGACACAGGGTATTTATAACACTTTTACCAAAACTATCATATAAGAACCGTGTATTATGTCTGGTGCCCAGTAGGTAATCGAGGATGTTCATTGCAAGAATTCAGAAATAACCTCCTGGAGATATGTCTGTGTCTGCTGCCTCCTGTACTTGGCTCATCGGCTTGACCCTGCTTTTTTCTTAGTCACTGCTGGATTTCTGAGTTGGGCTAAAATTTTAGTGGTTTAGAAAGTTCAATACCCTTATCTGCAACATAGACGGTGCTTCTTTACCTGAGTATTGTGACTCACCTAGGCCCCCTTGTCTTTCACTGACAGGAAAAGGATGTGATCTGTTTACCAAAAAATGAGCAGGCAGAGCCCTCTTTCTGCCAAAAGCTGGCCCTTGCTGCCCTCTAGTGGCTGCTTTTTGCATAGCTCCACTCAAGGTAGGAAATCAGATAAATGACCAAAAAAAAGGAGGGTGGAATCTAAAAGCTCTCCACTGTGTGGAAAACTAGAGAATGACCAAAGTCTTGGTCCAGGGAAAATGCGAAGTGAAACAACATGAGTCGCCGTGGGTGAGGGGAGGCTCTGTCACTGAAAAAACATAGTGGAGTTCAAGGGGAGAGTGTTCCCAGACTCAATCAGCTCATCCAGGGCCTGGTAAGTCCCCACTACGAAGCCCACAAAGCCCAAGATGCTGATGAGGGCATCCTTGATGATGGTCAGGGGGCTCATGCCCTCCGAGTAGTAGGTGGTCATCTCCAGCAGGGGCGGGATGATGAGAGCCAGGGCACTGCTGCTCACAGAGCCCACCAGGGAGAGGACCAGGTCCAGGCGTGGGATGAGGATGGCCAGCATGCCTATGGGAGACGAAGGGGGACAGATGGAGAGACCCAATGCCTTTAAAGGTTGTTATTGAAGTCACCTTTAGAAGAAGCGAAACCTCCTTCAGACATTCAGTTTTGCAAATACAAGCTGAGGGCTACTGTTGTAGCTCAGTTGGTAGAATCCCTGCCTAAGATGCATGGAGCCTGGGTTCTATCCCCAGCACCTACCTCCAGTTGGTATGCCTACAGCCCCAGAATTTTGGAGGTGAAGACTGGAGGATCAGGAGCTCGAGGTTTTCTTTGGCTACATAGTTTGGTTTGAGGCTAAACCTGTGCTATATGAGACTGTATAAAAAGGGGGAAAAAAGAAGTAAAGGAAAAAAAAAAAGGGCAAGGTGTGGTGCTGCATGCTTTTAGTCCCCAGAGCTTGGGAAGCAGCAGGCAAATCTGTGAATTTCAGATCAGCCTGGTCTACATAGTAAGTTCTAGGCTAGCCAGGGATACATCCTGAGACACCCCATAAAAGCAAAACAAAACAAAGCTTAACTAAACTAAAACAGCAACAGAACAGCATCAAACAAATGGGAGATGGCTCAGTGGGTATAAGCACTTACTGCTAAGTCTGGTAATTTGATTTTGATCTCCAGACACACATGGTAAAAATTGTCCTCTGACCTACACACATGTGTCAATATGCATATGTAAGCAATAAACAAATAAATGTAAAAAAATTTAAAAATGGGAAGAATGGAGAGCTACCAGTGCACCTGTTCTTATCTCAGGGGATGACACGTTAACAGTTGAGACAACTCACTCCTGTTGTCCAGATGCAGTGGGACAGGGCAAGACAGGGCAGAGGTTCCTCCATCTCCTATCCTTGCTGAGGCCATTTCAGGCTAAATTAGAATCTGATTTCCCTGATGGAGAATTCCTGTAGAAAATGACCCAACTCTATTCTAGGAACGAGAGGTCAAGATGCCCCATCTAAAACTTGGCTTAGCTTCAGTTAAACTATCTGCTTGTGCAATCCCCGCTCTCCACTTCAGCTAGAGACATCAAACAGGATGTGGATTTTGCCTGTAAAAGCATCTTTCTCTGAAAGTTCAGGGCTACACTTGGGTCCCCAAATACCTGAGCATAGATAGTCTCTTCCGGCTGGAATAAAGACTTTCAGTTGGCTACAAACTGTCTGAGTGGTCATGAGCGGTGGAGTCCACATAATACTATGTGTTCATATTGTTGGGTTGTTGGGGGATTTTCTTTTCCCACTTAGGTTCAGTGTGTGGGGTTCTGAAAATGGAGAGATTATTAAGAGAAAACACAAAGTTCATTTGTGAGCTACATCCAGGAGAGTCCACCTGGCTCTGTAAACCCCAGTAATGGTGAAAGCAGGCCTGACTCATAAGCTTGGGGCTCTAGCAGTACCCACTATCCTCAAAACTCCAAAGAAATTGGACAGCAGGTCATTTTCAGATGGTTCCTCAATTCCAATTTGACAATGGCTAGCCTTCTGCTGGGCTGGCCTTGCAGACAGGTGTGTGTGTGTGTGTGTGTGTGTGTGTGTGTGTAGGGGCTGTGTTTCCAGAATGCCCTAGCTAGTCAGCAAAACAGGCTTCAATCATGCTTTTTATTCAACCTCTGTTCAAATGTCAATAGTTTCAAATGATCTTCTGTTATTACTCTTTCATGCATGTGTGCGCTGACCTCTCTCCCCCACCAAATGATTTTTGTGCACTTTTCATTTTTTATCCTTTGACAATTTCCTGTGGGTATATTCTGTATGTGGATCATCCTCACCCCCACTACCCTCTCTTGTCTCCTCCCACTTGTTCCAGAATTCTTTTTCTCCACAAGCCTCCCCCTATCATTTCTATTTTTTTAAAGATTTTATTTATTATGTATACAACATTCTGCTTCCATGTATATATGCACACCAGAAGAGGGCACCAGATCTCCTAACGGATGGTTGTGAGCCACCATGTGGTTGCTGGGAATTGAACTCAGGATCTCTGGAAGAGCAGTCAGTGCTCTTAACCTCTGAGCCATCTCTCCAGCCCCCTCATGTCTCTTTTAAAACAACCTACCGGATTTTGTTAGGGTTGCCTGCACGAGCATGGGTATGGGCTTGTTTTAAATGTTGGCTTAAATTTACACGAAGTCCTGAGGGACCAACTGCACCCATTGCCCAAGCATTCTCCTTGGTTCCTGACCTTCTGTGCCAGCCTTGGAAGTGAAAGGTGCTGGCTCTGGGCTGTGATGACCTGGGTTTGGGCCCTGCTTGTTTTTCTTCATTAACATGATCTTTTAAAAATTTAACTCCATTTATTTACTTAGTGTATGTATGTGTCTTCATTAAAATGATTTTTCAAATTTAACTACATTTATTTATTGAATGTATGCATGTACATTGTGTGTCTCAGCACATGTGTACGAGTCTGAGGGCAACTTTTAGGAGTCGATGCTCTCCATCTGTCATGTGGGTTCTGGGGACTAAACTCAGGTCGTCAGGCTTGGCAGCAGGTGTCTTTACCAACTTAGCCATCTCACTGGCCCTTCACTACTGCTATTAACTATTAAGAAAGTAGCTCATGTAACTCAGGCTGGCTTCAAACTTGCTAAGTGGACAAGGGTGACCTTGAACTTCTGATCCTTCTGACCCCACCTCGAGAGTGCTGGGATCACAAGCATGTGCCAACACACCCTGTTTATGAGGTGCTGGAGAATGAATTACGCCAGGCAAATACTCTCCAGACTGTGCCATGTCCCCAGCTCCCAACAGTCACAGGCCAGTTATCTGACAGTGTCCTGCTTCATGAGCATTCTCACGGGAACTGAATACAATGCTATGAAATGCAGCCTAGGGAGGGTTTGCCACAGGGCCTTGTACACTCTCTGTGTCATGGCTACTGTTTAATACACTGATATCAATGAATCTGTCCTTCGGCTGGGCATCAGCATACCTATCTAATTAGGGAGAATTAGGGATTGTTTAAATGGAGGTTGGGGAGATAGCTGTTAGTCAAGTGTCTTCCCTGCAGACACAAGGACCTGAGGTGTATCCAGAACACACACACACACACACACACACACACACACACACACACACACACACACACACACACACCTCTCAGAAAACCTGAGTCTCTGTTCTACTCACATGTGAGGCAGACCATGGCGATACGGATGGACAGGTCCAAGGGCAGTGCCCAGCGCTTTGACACCTGGGAGACAGCAAAGGGGATGATGATTTCTGCAGGGACGTAGAACTGCAGGGCATAGGTGCACAGGATGCCAACAACATACAGGAGCTTGACTGACTGGTACAGCCTGCAAGAAACACAGTCATGTTCTTCATGGCCTGACACTCCCATACCCGGCCTCCTGGGGACAGCAGCCTCTGACTTTGGGACAGTCCCTTGGGTCTGTGTTTCCTTCTCTGAAGATGAAGGTGTGGGGCCTTTTCCGAGTACAGAGTGTGGAGAGAGCAGAGAAGCATACAGGATCTTATGGCAGCGGAGGGAAGGGTTATGTAAATGAGAGACAAGCAGCCCTGAGCATGTACACACCTAGTGCCTTCACAGACCACTCTGTGAAGTGTGGATCAGGTCAGGCCTAACACTAAATACTTCTCTCAGGAAGACCCAAGGTAAGTAGCCAGGGACCTAAAGCCTGGGTCTAAAGTCTTTTGTGACTAGAGTCTACAGGAATTGTCCTTGCCCCCGCCCCCACCAAGTACTCAGTATATCAGGGGCTGTCAATAAGTGCACAATTTCATTTGGAGTACTGCCAAGTCCTTAATAATAGCGAGGAAAAGATGTTATCTGCAGGGTTGTGTGGAGGGGTGAAAGGAGAAGCG